TTATTGTTATTAAGTGCTGTCAAGTAGGCTCCAACCCATAGTGACCCTATATATGTTTCCGAGGAGTTTGAACCACTGACCTTGCAGTTCAGACCCACCATGTGCCACACCAGGACTCATTTGTTGTTGTTAGTTGCCATCGAGTCAGTACTGACTCATAGCGACCCTATGCACAATAGAAGTAAACACTGCCCTGTCTTGGGCCACCTCACAATTGTTGCCGAGCTTGAGCCCATTGATGCTGTCACAGACCTTGAGGTTCAAACCAATCTTGCAATCTAGTGCTTTATCTTACAGCGCAGCACTACACATCAGGCTTATTTATGTGTGATCTTCCAAGTCTTGCCCCCAGTATTGATTCCTAGAAAGCCTGCTGTGACTTCCAATCTCCAGCTAGATTTCCTGTTCCCGTGTTTGCTAGGAAGTAGTTCAGACTCTCATGTAATTATTGTTGCGTGTGTCTGTGTTTCTAACTGAACTGTAAGCTCAGTTTAGGGAAGGGATTGTTCTTGTAACTCTCTACTCATGTATATGATAGTGTACCACATATGTGTCATAAAACATCTTCACTAGTGTTGGTTGAATGAATGATTTAATCCATGTACAAGGAATGACAATATAAAATGACTTGTAGATTTTGAGCAAGACTTTTGTATTACTATATCGATTCTAAGCTAAAATGATTACCTATTAACTGCTTGGTTTATCCTTACTACTTGGAAATTTTTTATAAAGAAATTGAATCTAACTTTCTGTGTGGTTAAGTATATGGGATTTAAAAAAAAAAATTATTCCTGCGACTTGGTGTAAGTCATTAGAATTGTACAGAGTTTTTAGTTTGAGGTAGGATCTATTTTATAGGCTAGATCTATGACATGAAGACACAACAATCCTCTCTCTGTGTATCTATAGATGTTGATATATCTATTTATCTATACACATACATATGTTGTTGTTGTTGTAAAGTGCCATTGAGTAGGCTATGACTCATAGCAATCCTGTATAAGCTTTCTAAGGAGTGGCTGGTGAATTTGAACTGCCGACCTTGCAGTTCAAACCGACCTCGTGGTCCAGGACAGTATCGCACAGTATCACCGCAGGACTCCATATACATACTTACATGCGCACGCACGCACGCACACACACACACACACACACACACACACATATATATATATAATATAAATCTGAAAAGTAGTTTTTCTTAAACTTGGGTGCATTCTTGACTAGAATAACATTCTTTTGAATAACTTCTTTTGAGATAAGCTTAGTCTACTAGGAAAATATATATATATATTGCAGGATTACTGTAGAAATATATTCTTATTGGATTTATGTCATAAATAAATACATACACAAGTAAATAGCCCTAATGCCTTTTTTCAAGTTTACCAGCTACTCCATAAAAACCCTGTGCAAGGTCGCTATGGGTCGGAACCGACTCGACAGCATTTAACAACAACAACAACAAAGCCTTTTTTGGAGGTTACTGTTGTTAAACAAACAAGTACTCACAAATATGTGACCTGCCATTCATTAGGGATTACTTTGTTGTTCTTTTTCTTCAGAGACCAGAGATCAGATTTTTCTCTCTGAAAAAAGACAAATTTAATTTTATAAAATAGTAAGTCTAAGGTTATTATTTAAACTTGGAATTTTATTTATTTATTTTAAATTGGGGAAGAAAATGGAACTGGATTTATGGAATAAAGAGAGGAACATTCCTCCTAGCAATTAACTATATTAGTTTTTTGGGTTTGTTTTTTAATCTCTCGGTGTTTTCTGTTAGACCAAGGTCGGTTTGAGCAGGCTGATAGGCAGTTCAAATCCACTAGCTGTTCCTCAGAAACCCTATACAGGATCACTATGAATCAGAACTGACGTGACAGCACTTAACAACAACAACAAATATGAAAAAAAAACCAACAACTTCATATGACATACATAGGAATATATATTCTAATTTGTGGCTTTTCACGTAATTAACAATACTGACAGATGATACTAAGATAATGTTGATGGAACTCTTCTTCCTCACTCCTGACGTTTCCTATCATGTAGAAGGAGTCCTGTTTGTGTAACCCACCTGACTGTATTCTTACTTCATGAGAAGGAAACTCTGAGTGTGCACAACCCATCCATTTCCTTTTGGTGGCGCTAATTGCTTTATGAACCCTTATACGCCATCATGTGAATTTTACAGTGCACCTCAACATACGACAGACTTTCATGTTCTAGTCTGGCCTATGCATGGATGTATGTTGTTATTGTTAAGTGCCGTCAAGTCAATTCCAACCCAAAGCGACCCTGTATAGAGTTTCCAAGGAGCAGCTTGTGAGCTTGAACCACCGACCTTGCAGTTCAAACAACTTTACAGTCTGACACATTAGCTCACAGTGCCACGCCAGGACTCCGGATGTATGTGTGGGTATTTAATTTGAGGCTCAATGTTAGGAAGACCATTATTACTGCACACAAAAGCCATATTCTCAATTTTGATAGTATTACAACTGCCATTTTGTCTGTCTGTCTGTCTTTCCTCTTGAATTCATTGCTCAGTAGGTTCAGAGCTCAGGTGAGAACATATGGTACAGTTATTATGTTAGTTTGGGACCCTTACTTATCTTCTTTAAATCCACACAACAGCTCTGTCAGCGAGGGGCATTATCTCCTAGTGGGGTCAGCTGAGATCAATCGAGGTGGAATCCACTCAGTGGCAATTAACAATGGGAACAGCCACAACAGGAATGTGAGGGTATAAGAAGAGAAATAATCTTGGTTGATCAAGTTAACTTTGGTGGCCTGGTCAGTCTAATTCCAATGCTTTTGTTCATTAGGACATACTGCCTAATATCCCAGATAAAAGCTTTTAAAGGACTTTACATTATATAAATCACTAACTAATACAAGTGAGATTGTGTTTTGTTTTGTTTTGTAGTATGGATATTATTTGATATCTATAATTACAAATGTTTTTATGTGGTCTGTAAATCCTTGAATACCTGACAGTTCACCTGTATCTGCCATTTATACTGACTATAGCGTTGTTGTTGTTGTTGTTATGTGCCATCGATTCGGTTCCGACCCATAGCGACCCTGTATAGGGTTTCCGAGGGTGTAAATCTTTACGGGAGTAGAAAGCCTCATCTTTCTCCCGCGGAGCAGCTGGTAGTTTCGAACTGCTGACCTTAAGGTTCGCAGCCTGATTCGTAACCACTACGCTACCAGAGCTATTGGGCTGCAAACCGCAAGGTCAGCAGTTCGAAACTCCCAGCTGTTCTGCGGGAGAAAGATGAGGCTTTCTGCTCACGTAAAGAATTACAGCCTCGGAAACCCTGTACAGGGTCGCTATGAGTCAGAACTGACTCCACCGCACATAACAACAACATGCACACACACACACACACACGCCTCGGAAACCCTGTACAGGGTCGCTATGAGTCAGAACTGACTCCACCGCACATAACAACAACATGCACACACACACACACACACACATATGATACATATAACCTCCTTTTGGACTTTTAAACTATAAGGGTAAATCAAAAAGTGTTGCTACAAAATCATAGAAACCTTTATTAAAGAAAAATATCAAAACGTGAAGCTATTGTTTTTCAACATGTCATCCATCTTGTTCTGTACACTTCTAAATGTATTCTTAATAAGCCCCTGTGATTACACCTTTGGAATCCAAAAACCAGTTGCCATTTACCTTCTGAGCTGAGCTCCTGCTTTGAATTGACTGGCCCAGCAGATCCCCTCAGATACTATTGATTGATTGGACCTTTTTCTCTAAACGCACCTTAATGAGACTATGACAAGTGTATTACTGATAGGACTTGCCTGCAGCCATCCACTCTTCCCAGAGACATGTTGAAACATGTTCTGGTGGGAATAAAACTGTGCATGTATTAACTAAAAACCCTAGTATCAATGCCTTTTGACTTGTACTTCTATAGAAAACTTAGAATGGATTTCCAAATGTATATAATAAATTACATAAATACTTAAGTATTTCATAGTAAAAGACAGAGCTTTCCCAATGAGGTAACTTGCTCTCTGTGATCCCAGGAATGCGGGTCATAAAGGGAGGAAGTTTCTTTTTTACATCCAGTACCAGTGAATACTTATTATGCATCTACTTCTGCTGTCCTGGTGTGGTGCTGCAGGATAGTGTACTGGACCACAAGGTCAGTTTGAACTGAAAAGTCATCTCAAACCCACCAGCTGCTCTTTGGAAATCCTATACAGGGTTGCTATGAGTTGGAACCGACTCAACAGCACTTAGGAACAACAGCAACAACTTCTGGTTGGTTTTGTATAGCGAAGAGAAACATCGTAAATCCTGGCCCTAATTTTCTAGGTAGGAATCCTGGTATGCCACTATAGCCTCTAACCACTGGACTGCTAACTGCAAGGTTAGTGGTTCAAACTTATCAATTGCTCCTTGGGAACCCTATACAGGCTTACAGTGAGTCACATATAACTCAACAGCACTTAACAACAACAATCTTCTCAGCACTTAGCATGGCCTGGTACAATATGGAATACTTAACCTATTAATTTAAATGTTATTCTTGATTAATTGCTAATTTGTTTATATTTTAAATGAGGTCAGTAATAGAGTTATACATGAGTTACTTTTGCTTTCTATACAAGCATAAAAAATAAGATGAAGTGTTATGAAAAGACCAAATGATGCTTTCCTGTCTATCCTTGTTGTACTAATTTAGCATAATTAATATCTTGACTGGGGGAAAAACAAGACATTTCCATGCATTTAATTTTGCATTGCTCCATCTTTAAAGTGTTGATCATGGCAGAATTTCAGGTTCCTTGCCAGATGTTCTTGTGGAACAATGGCCCATAGGTAATAAACAATTGAACTAAGGTCTGCATGAAAATAACATCTATGATACCCTATCGGGTACCTTACTGTTTTGATATGACAGTTGATATTGTTTCTTCTGTTTTCTCCCCAGCCATTGTCTATACAGGGCATTGATGTACGAGATTCTCCTCTGAAAGAAAAAAAGTTGACTAATAAACAGCGATTTATAGCTTCATTTAATGTCGTGAACACAACAAAACGAGATGCTGGAAAGTACCGCTGCATGATACGCACCGAAGGAGGTGTTGGATTATCAAACTATGCAGAGTTGGTAGTCAAAGGTATTTAATGTATTCTTATATCCCAGAATAGTATATTAAAACAGCTGTGATAAACAGTTTTCAGTTATTTAAGACTCAAACTTATTCTTGCCTATTTCTGAACAGTAGTCTGGTAACAGTCTGTGTTGAAATATGGCATCTTAAGTACAGTGCTTGCATGTGAGCCATTTTTTTGAAAAATGTATTTTATTTATGTTGGTTCGGTTGTATACAACAAAATGAATGTGCTCTTGGCAAGGTCTTCTGCCAACTCAATATACAGAGATTACAATCTATAAATTTTGTTAAGGAACAAAAATTTTTACTGATAGAAAATCACTTAAAATGCAGATATTCACCAGACAGGGTGTTTATGATAGCAAGGTGGTTAATAAAAATGAAGCAGTATCTATCTAAAAATGTTCAGTCATATCACACAAGCCATACTGATAATATGTTAATATTCATGATGTTCCAGTTAGGTTCTATTACTATATTTTACATGACTGAAAAACGCAGTCATTACATTCAAGAAGGGGAAAAAAACAAACAAAGACCAACAGCAACAAAACAGAGGATAAATAAGTTCCCTTTATCTTAATTTATTCTTTGTTTTTGGACTGAAGAGTGGCTGATGATCATTTTCTTTTATCTCAGAAAGAAGAATTTTACTTCAGATGTATATCAGACATTTTTAGACAATTTTATGTTAGACCATTGCCACTCCTTCCTAGGAAAACAGAATGGTGACTGCTATTAAGCTTTCCCTACCGTTTGTTAAATATGGAATATAAAACTCATTTGTGCAGTATGGTCTGTTGCTACACTTCTTTCAGCAAATTTCTCAATGTAGGTAATGTTCAAGATTACCTGGGTTTAAGTCCCAGAACTCCATATGTGTATGTGGTCATGGACAGAGTTACCACAAAAATCAAATGAAAAACATATTTATACAGCACTGAGGTTAGAGCACAAAGTAAGCAGGCATACAATGGTGTGGAGCTGGTGATGGGGATGGATCCTATCTTTATTTAGAACTCACTCACCTCACCCACTGTAATGCCTATACTAAATCCAACTCATTGGGATTAGAGTCTTTGGTGTAAAATATGTATGTGATCTGGGTAGAGGTGTCTGCTGTGGAATCAGAGCATTCACATTAATGTGAATGTTAATCACACATAGTTCATGAGAGAAAGTGTTTTTCGATGAGTCTATCTCAAGAATGATTAGTCTGAGGCAATGACTAACGTTCAGTATGAGGAAGTGCACGTCAGAATATCTACTTGAATCAGATTCTCATATGCTTTGAGTTAAACTTTAACTGGGTTGTCTGGCTAATATTAGCATTTAGGTTTAGTATCTGTAACAAAACAGAAAACCATTCATAGTTGCACATACCTTTCCTGCTGCTGACGCTCTGAACACGAGGGGTCACCATGAAGAACATGAACACCACTTTACCGCCAAGCCCAGCTGAGCAGTCTAGGTCTCCACCAGGCTGAGTTCTTGATTATGATGATTATTTCAATTTTCCTTTAGGCCCAGTTATTTGATACTGTTCTTCCTTTTCTGATTTAAAGTCACCATGTTTAGACACCTTGGACATGCTTCATTCATGATCAATATGATACAAATCTAGAAGCTTCTCTAAAACTTTCCTCTATGAAGTTCATTTGTTGAGTGTTATAAGGGTCTAAAATTTCTAGTCTAAACCTTGAAAACCCTTATACAGGTGGTTATAAGTTGGACTAACAACAACATATATATTGTTGCTGCTGTTAAGTGCTGTCGAGTTGGTTCTGACTCATAGCAACCCTGTACAGGGTTTCCAAGGAGCAACTGATGTATTTGAACCACCAACCTTGTGGTTTAAATCAACCTTGCAGTCCAGTGCTTTATCCCACAGCACCACTCCAGCACTCTCTCTCTCTATGTATGTATATATATATATATATATATATATATATATATATATGAACTATTGATATGTATATATTCAATTGATATATATGTGTGAGTTAGGGATCTATATATGCATAGTGATTGTTGTTAGTTTCCTTGGAGTCAGTTCTGACTTCTGGTGACGCCATGTGTGCAGAGGACTGCTCCATAAGGTTTTCCAAGCTGTGCCCTGTCTGCAGAGGTACCTCTGGATAGGTTTGAATCACCAGTCTTTTGTCTAATAATTGAGTGCTGAACCATTTGCACCAACTATGGATACCCAATATATATCAGTAAGGTGCTCTGTATCATCATCACTGGACTCCAAACCACAAGGTAGGTCCATGGTTTGAGCCTGCCAGCTGCTCAGCTGGACTAAGATGAGGCTTTTTGCTCCTGCAAAGATTTTTTTTAAAAAAGGCCTCAGAAACCCTATGCAAGTTGCTATGAGTCAGTACTGACTCAAAGGCACTTAACAGCAACAACAAATATGTGTTTAAAGGAGCCCTGGTGGCAGTGTATGATAAGCTGGACTACTAACTGCAGGGTTAGTAGTTTGAATCTACCAGCTGCTCTGCAGAAGAAAGACAGACTCTCTGCTGCCATAAAGATTTAACATAAAAACTCTCCATTGGATCACTATGAGCTGGGTCTGACTCTGTGGTGCACACCCCCTTCCCCCTACCATATGTGTTTAAATTATATCCTTACCAGTTTGCTAGATTTCAAATCAATGTTATCATGTTCTTTCACTTCCACTTGGATTAGGAAACATTTTTCATTGTTTTATTGTTACTTTGTATAGAATAAGATTATTTCCTCCTTCCGTCATTTTGGGAAAAAAAAAATGTCTAAAATGAAAATATTGGCTCATTCATATTCTGATTCTCTCTGTAATCCAGAAGTCCTTTGGGATGACTGTCTCAGTTATTTCTGGCTCTAGTGAAATGTTTCAGGAGCACTGGTAGTATAGTGGTTACAAGTCAGGCTGCTAACCTCAAGGTAAGCAGTTTGAAACTAACCAGTGGTTCTGCAGGAGAAAGATGAGGCTTACTACTCCGGTAAAGACTTACAGTGTCCGAAACCCTCTGTGGGGTTGCTGTGTGTCAGAACTGACTCATCATTATCATCAACAGTGGAATCTTTGATTTGATTTACTATTTGGTTCTTTTTTTTTAGCGGGGAATTCATAGTGAAAATATTCTACAGACTTAACAACAACAACAACAAAAAATCCGGATGAAAGTCACATCTATTTTAGGGTATTAGTAACAATTTAAGTGAATTGCCATCATCATTAGACTCTGTGACCTTGTCCCTGAGTTGCAGTTTGAATGGCATTGCAACAACCCTTGCTAGCTTTGCAACTTGAAAGTAATTAGCTGCTCTTCCAGCCTGGCTGCGATAATGCCTTAGGATGTACTATAAAAGGTCCATTTCATGTCTTGGTTCAAGGAATCGCCTAATAATATAAATTGATGTGAAATCATTGTGAATTCAATCAAAACTGCTTAAAGAAATGAAGAGCTAGCACAAATTTTTAGTTTATAAAGTATAACAGCAATATTTTCATAAATTTACACTGAATTTGAAGTTCTCCAAATAAAAGTCAGAGTGGCTTATCACCCTTTGGATACAAAAAAAAGTACAAAACACCCAGGTCACTAGTGGGAACTGTTAATGTTTTTTTTTTTTAATTGATTGAGGGAGAGAAAGCTAGTATCATCTCAGGTGTGACCCTCAGAGCCGCTTATTGCTGCTGCTCTAAGTTTGTGTTCAACAGGAAACGTAGTGGTAATCAATGTGCTATTTCTGCCCTGGGAGAGCACGGGGGAAGTTGCATTATACAAGTCAGGATTTGCCAGTAACAGAAGAAGGCACGCTTTATTTTCCCTGTGTTTATGTAAGGTAAATTAGGAGGTGAAAACAAGAATATACCAAAAAGGCATACACCACCTGAGGACACATTCCAGAAACAAACAAACTAGATCTTCTGTGACTTTGTGAGAAGGTGATTCATTAAGATAGAACTATGGCAATTCCTACAGTGATCTTGATTCTTATTAGTATTCTGTGTGGTCTGTCATCCATAGTGACATTGGCATTCAGCAAGCCCCTAACTAAATACTATTTATAATAAGTTTGTATGTTTCTCTCTCTTTAGACAATGATTTGAAAAAAAGAGATTCAGGTTTGAAACAATGAAAACTTTCTTGGGTTAGAAATAATGTTTACTATTGATTTCTTACCTTTCTCAGACTGGCATAGCTTGTGTTGTGTTCCAGAGCTTCCTTTCTAGTCTCTGCTTTCATAACTCATTACTCAAGTTCTCAGGCCAGCACCACTGGTGGACTTTCTTGTTCACCCTGCTCAATTTTCCTCCAGCTGAAGAAGTCTATTGTGGATGTTTTTTTGGGAAACAAGTCATCTTGGAAATACATTTATGATGCGATAAACTGAAACTTTATCTATGTTTTGAAAGTCATAAAATGGTTGGAATATAAAATTCATGATGCAGCAAACTGGTACCTTTGATGATTTTGATGACATCCCCACTAAGAATGTTAATAGTGAGGGATCTCCAAGATTTTAAAGACTACCCCTTGAGCCTGCTTTCACAAGTTAGGGTTAGTGAAAACAAAACTAATGTTTTTGTAAATGTCTATGTAAAATAGGATTGCCCTATACCTATTTGAAGGAGCTCTGGTAGCATAGTGGTTACGAATCGGGCTGCGAACCTTAAGGTCAGCGGTTCGAAACTACCAGCTGCACCACGGGAGAAAGATGAGGCTTTCTACTCCCGTAAAGATTTACACCCTCAGAAACCCTATACAGGGTCGCTGTGGGTCGGAACCGACTCGATGGCACTTAACAACAACAACAACATACCTATTTGAATAAAACATGATTTATTTCATAACAGGTAAACCCTCTATCAGTATACCTTATTTTATGAATATGAACAAAATCATTTTCAGAAATTGATTTCTGAAATGTTCATATCTAATGTATTTTAATAATTGATATGCATTTAGGTTTTTTTAATCTCACGACAAAAGTGTCTAAAAATGGCTCTCTGATTTGATGTTGTAGAACCACCTGTCCCGATAGCCCCACCACAGCTCGCTTCAGTGGGAGCAACCTACCTATGGATCGAACTCAATGCCAACTCCATCAACGGAGATGGACCCATTGTCTCAAGAGAAGTGGAGTATTGCACCGCCAGCGGAAGCTGGAGTGACCGGCAGCCAGTGGACTCTACAAGTTATAAGATTGGGCACCTTGATCCAGATACTGAATACGAGATTAGTGTGCTGCTCACCAGGCCTGGTGAGGGCGGTACTGGATCTCCTGGCCCAGCTCTTAGAACAAGAACAAAGTGTGCAGGTGAGTAGCTGGAGCCGAAACATATAGCCAGTGGCCATATCTTTTCTGGGCGCTGGGCGCCGAAGTCTATCAGGTAACTCACACACTCCCCTCCAGCTAGATCAGCCACCTGTCTGTGAACAAAATGCTCTCTTAGCTTTGTCAACGGGCCTTTGCCTACCAGCCTTAGATCTTTAGGGCCAGTGACCTTGAGATTTGGTGTGTCTCAGCTTACCTGTGCTCCCTTTTCTTGTTTTTGTTTTTCTATTATTAGCTTTTTTTTTTTTTTCCCCTCTAAGTTTTTACTGTAAATTGAGTGATAGTTTACATGGGAGAACATCAGTTTTACACTCTTCATATTTCGTTTAAGTGCAATGATTACAATCCCCTCCATGTATCATCATTCAAAAGTATTTGCTTCTATTTCCTGTTTTGTTTCTTTGGGATGTACAGCAAAACACTCAGGAATATACCATCATTCAAACAACATTTTACTGTAAATATCGTGCGTCCTGGTGGGGCTTATTCTGGTAGGATAAACACTGGACTGCTAACCATAAAGTTGCTGGTTCAAGCCTCAGAAAGTCTCTATAGGTTCATTATGAGTCAGAACCGACTCAATGGCACTAAATACAACAACAATATATTTAATTACTTCCTTGTAAGGTCTCAAGATAGACTTGAAACCCACACGCCCTCCTTTCTATGTCTTGGTGTGTCCTTTAAGAATTAAGCTTTGTGTGGTTTCATTTTAAGGTTATTTTAGTGCATCCTGCTTTGGACATGGCAGTATAGTTTCCTTTCCAAAAGAAGGTGCGATTTAATTGTTTATCTTGGAGGGTGGATGTGATCTGTTTCATCCTAGTCACCAGCCACCCCACCTAATTACTGTGTTCAATCCTGTTCTTCTTTCCCATATTCTGTCTTTTCTCTTGAGCTTGTCTCTGTACATTTCAGTTATTGACAGTTTGTTTTTCCCCTGAATATAATGAATTCTTCTCTGTTTTCATGACTCTTATTTGATCTGCTGCATAGCTTGTAAATGCACAGCTTTCAAAGAGGCAGTACCCCTCTTGTAATAGATTGGTGGGTCTCTTTAGGAAATTAAGGCCAGCTTAGACTTGGTATCTGCATACCAGCCCAGAGCCTTATGGTCTTAAAGCTAAGCCAAGCAAGGGAGCCCAATGATGCTCCCACCCCGTCTTATACCTTCTAGCCTACTGGTGACGCTGACAACAGCCAGCACTCCTATGCAGCTTGCTTGACTTTGAATATTTAGGGAAAAAAGCTGAAGTTGAATAAGTCAACCTTAGAAAACAAATGAGAGCATGTTAGGTAAGAGAGTGAAAGTTAGAAATTAAAGAGGCCGAGGAAAGTGAAGTCACATGAGACCTTTTTGTTGTTATTATTCCTAAGTGCCATCAAGTTTACTGGATGAAAAAAATATATTTCACTCTTTCTTGACCTTTAGGTCTTTTGAAGGAACCCTGATGTGGCACTGTAGTAGGATAAGCAGTTGACAGCTAGGTCAGTTTGAGCAGCAAGGTCAGTGGTTCAAACCCACCAGCCTCTCCTCAGAAACCCTATATAAGATCGCTGTGAGTTGGAACTGACTCAGCACCACAACAACAGCAAAGGTCTTTTGAGAAAATCTCTAGATAGGATTTTACTTTTGGTGAAGGAAGAAGATAGATGCTATAGCATATGTTGTTAGTTGCTGTGGAGATGATTATAACAATAAACTGAAAACTTTAATGTTGGTCCCAAATTGTTAGTTAGAGTATGAGCTTGTAGGGTTTGGAAAGAGCAAGCTAGGTGTCTCATAAAACTGGCTAGGTTAGGGGGTGGGGCTTTAAACTTTCTGTAATAGAACATGAAATCTGCCCTTGACCAGGCTTGAACAGTGGATATATTTAATAGGGTGATATGCAACAGAAATAAATGTAAATCATCCTCTATGTTTGCAAAGTCAAAATGCTAACAAGAAATTACAGTGATGAACTTTAGCAGCATATATAAAAAGAGGATTTTGCTTACATGCCTATGAATCATATTAATCACCAGTGTGATGATACCATGTCATGTCCTCTACATCCCAACCCCCCCCCAAAAAAAAGCATAATATAATCTTGTTGTTGCTGTTGAGTGTCATTGAATCAATTCTGACTCCTAACGACCCTGTATAGGGTTTCTGAGGAGGAGTGGCTGGTGAGTTTGAACTTCCAACATTGCAGTTAGTTCAGTGTTTATTCTACAGCACCACACCAAGACTCCAATATATAATTAGGTTGCATTAAAGAAAACAAAATGATGAAAGAGGTCACAGTATGGTTCTACCAGCAGTAAGTTGCTTTTACTCCAGTTCTCTTATTTACTTCCAGTACCTGCATTTTATGAGAGATAGCACAAAATAGACTGTGTGCAAGGGAGAGCAACTTGGATAGGAAGGTTCTGAAACTTTGCTCTATCAAAGAGGAAAGGTAGAAGGGTTGGGAAAGAATATTGATGAGTTGACAGAACCTGAGTCCTGAGTAGTGTTTTTAGTGGCTGACTTGTTCCAGGTGAACTTGACACTGGACAAGGTGATTTGTAGTTACAATAGGGTTGATCTGCTTGAGCTTGGAGATGTCTTCAACATGAGCACTCTATGTTCCACTGGCTATTTGCTTTCTAATGAGATGATTGATAGTATGTTCCTACCATGAAATTCTGTCAGCTTCACTTCAGTGTTATCCTTGTCCAAATCCTCCAGTGGTGTGTTTTCCAAGTACTGCATTGCATGCAGGCTAGGAAGGCCTGTAATGACGTTTTTAAAAATCTGAGCAAAAGGAGAAAACTTGTGAGCTTTTGCTATGACTAAATACGATATTAAATTTGAAAAGTGGATTCTTATTCTCAGACTTTCTGTTTTCTTTTAGTGCTAAAACATGACTTCTTTTATTAAAGGGTAGCATCCATAGGTCCTAAAGATAGTCAGCAGTCACATGGCCAGGGGTGGATCCCAGCTGCATCCACAAGTAGATAAGTGACCTGGGGAGACTCCGCTGAGCCTCTGTGGCATCATCTGTAAGTCAGAGTACTATGGAAGTAGTATGCAGTTCCTAGTACTGGTACATACTCCTGTTGTGATTCTGTAATGTCAGCACTGGCTGCGAGCCAAATGTTCGGCAGTTCACACCCATCAACTGTTCCTCAGAAACCCTACACAGGGCTGCTATGAGTTGGAACCAACTCGGCAGCACTTAACAACAAGTACTGGTACAAAAGGAGCTATGGTGGTGTGGCAGTTTAAGCACGCCGCTGCTAACCAGCTGCTCCAGGGAAAAGATGTAATAGTCTCCTACAAAGATTGTTGCTGGTGTTTGGTGAGTGCTGTTGAGTCAGTTCTAACTCATAGGACCCTGTGTAGGGTTTCTAAGAAGTGGCTGGTGGGTTTGAACTGCCAACCTTGTGGTCAGCAGTTCAGTACTTATCCTACAGCTTTACCCTAGGACTCCCCAGGAAGATGACAGCCTTTGAAACCCTCTGTGGCAGTTTCACTCTGTCCCAGAGGGCCGTTGAGTCGGCAGAGGAAGCAGAAATCTCCAAATGAGTCTTGAAACTGGCCCATAAGATGTTAATTGCATTAAAAAAATTTTTTTTTACATTTTTTTTTTCTCTACACATTTTAATTCAGAAGAATTTGACACTGGCCACCTGGTTTTATTGTCCCAGATGTTTTCAAAATATGGTTTATCTGGGAAATCTAAACTCTGAGAATCTCATTTTGTATCATGGGCTCATAAAATTTCCTACAATTGAACATTGCATTCCTGACAGACATAGGGTTTCATTTCCCATATTACATTTGTCTCCTTTGAACCAGCTTGTGTGTTCCTTTCTGTGCTGTGTAACTGAGATCTGTTCTATACTGTCTTGGTGACACCTAGGAAACCGTATTTAGCTTTTTCTATATAAATGGCAAGAACGTTATTTGTTGCCCTGTCCTCTGTGCAAGGAAATTGAATTTATTTCCATGTGTGGCTTGCAGACAAAATCTCGTTACCTGGTCAGATTCCTTCCAAAAATTGTATTGTAGAGCACTCTTTGTTTCCTGCGCACCGGAAAATTATTTTCGAATATATGCACAGGCTCTCCACATGTGACCTTGATCAAATCACTTAGCTTCTCTGATTCTGTCTCTTCATCTCTGAAATAGGCCTGGACACCTGCCCTACCTTCAGCAAAGGTGATTTTGGAGAGCGGGTTAGATCTTATCTGTGAAGGTGATTTGAAAATGAAAAAGTAGGCCTATGTGATGTATTTTTAAAAAGATAATAGTCAGGAGCTAGTGTCAATATTTATGAATATATCCAATTATTTTCCAGCCCTGCAGTTCAGCTTTAGTGGTGTAACTTCAGACACCTAAAATTATTCCAGTATCCAGTTAGGCAAAATACAATTTACTCTGTGTTGTCTATTATATCTTAAACTTTTATAATTATGTGCAGCCTGTATATCACAGGCCATTAAGTGGTAGCTACTTGAAAAGAGAAATGGATGATGCCGTTAGATTAATTTTCGCAGTGGACTTTTTATGTGTTTTATTTTGCAATATTGCATTTTATGTATCCTTGTTATTGGTTAACTGTGGCTAAGTGACTTGCTAATAACTGGCCCCAGGGGTGAAGGAAGGATGAAGAAGAGCTAATGAGTGAATAATTAAGGTTGGTGAGAGTGAAATAATGCTGAATGGTAATGTGTTTCTTAGACAAATATAACTAGAAATCTATGAAAACAAAAATGATAATTGTTTTGTGTCTACTTTTTTCATTCTATATGAGATATTTTGAGGCTTTATGCTCTGATTTTAATTTTCTATTAAATTAAAAATTTCTCAAAGTTGTTAAATGTATCATCTTGGTAATATGTAGAGACCCTAACTGTTGTGTGTCCAGGGAGTGATAGTCATATCAGCTCCCAGGAGTGCTGGGTCAGAGTGGCATAGCTGGCTATCACAATTCTTGGTAGGTGCTGTCGAG